CAGACCTGATCAAATTACCAGCCGAAAATGTATCCGCACAGGTCGCATCCAAAATCAAAGACTTCCCCATTTTTTAAGGGAAAATGGTAATGCCATCCGGCCGCTTTTTTTCACCACGGTCTCAATTTTCATTTTATCGATTTTCAGAAATAGATTGGCATGACAATTTTTTCAATGGTTGCATCAAAATTTTTAAAACTTTATTTTTTTGCATGTTGTTCTTTTGAGACAGTTCATAATTTTTTTTATCCCATCTTTTTTTAATATTTGAAATTCACTTCCCATCATTTTAATACCTGAAATGATCAAATATTTTGATTTCTGATAAAAAAGTTTCATTTTTATTTTTAAACTTTTCATTCTGATTAGTTTTTTAAACAAGCAAATTTTTTCTACGGTAAACAATTCTAGAAGAATATCTTCAGGAAAAATCTTTGTTGAATTTTAAATCAAATTTCTTTTCTGACAATAAATCTCTTTGTTGGCTCAAAAATTCTTCCAGAACACTTTCTTCTCTACCCTTTTGAAGCCATTTTGTTTTTATTTCTATTGAAAAAAAGAAACCAGTGATTTTTTGTTGATTTCACCAGACGTCAACTTTTCGCCATTTTTCAAATGCTAGATCAACGTTTTGATTGCGAATTTTGACTTATTTCTTTCATTATCTTTTTTTATATGTTGAATTTCATTCATTCTTTTTAAATTCATTTCCTGAACTTTCTCCATTCTTCCTTATAAAAGTACCCTATTCTTTCTATTCATTGATGAAAGAATTCTTCATAGTTCTGTTCAATGGAAACAAAATCTATTGATTTATCTATCCTTTCATTCTTTCATAACAAAATTTTTAAGTTTCATTGTCTTTTTTTCTTTATTAAACTTTTAGGGATTTTTCAATATTTTTCCTTCAAAATTTCTGTCAACAAGAATACTTTTATAGACCTTCAAAATTTTCTTTTTCATTTTTGACCTTTCCATTTCTTCTTTGATTCAAAAAACAAAAAATTCTTGCACTTTTTTTAATTTCCCAAAATTTCTCTCTCCAAATTCTATTTTTAATTTTTAAAAAATTTGCTAATTTTTGAAAATTCTATATATTTCCTTAATAAAAAAGAATCTTTTTTGAATTTCTGACCGACAACTTTTATCATGGCGTGTTTTTTGGATGAAACTGGTGTTTAAAATTTCCACCAGATTTGTTGGGTGGAGTTTTCTCATTTTAAAACACAACATTTCACTTTGTAGTTTTTTTGCATATATGATTCACATTTTTATGATTTTCATTTCTTTTTATTAAAAATGAATTAATTTGGAAATTTTTTATTAAGACATTTATATCTGTCAAATTTTTTTTCTTTTGATAATTCCACGATCTCATTTTTATTATGAACCTTTCTCTTTTTTGTCTCCTGAAATATATCATATCAATCATTTACTGGCTCTTTAAAACAACCTATTCAGTTTCTTAAAATCAATTTTTTGTGACAGAAAAGAAAATCTTGAATATTCATCTTGAATGTGATAATTTTGAATATTAATAGATATTGGGTGACACTTGTATATTTTTAAAATATATTTCAAACAATTAAAAATTTAAATGTTCCGAAAGCATCAGGTTAATTGGTTTTATGAAAAAATGAATTTCTTTAGGAAATAAAAAAATGAAAGAAAATATTTTAAAATTTACTATTATCCAAATGAAGTCTTTATTTTTTTTTAATCAACTTCAATCACAAATACCTTATTGGTTTCTAAATTAAGACAGTTTTTTAAATTTTGAAAAAATTAAAAAGAAAACAAAAAAAAGAAAAAAAAATCAATTTTTTTAGAATTGAAGATTATACGGATTTTATTTACTAGGAATACATTTTTGATCAACAAACCAATTTTTATTAAGAGTTAATTTTAAGAGATTGCAAATATAGAAAAAAATGTTGTCTTAATTTCAAAATTAAACATATTTTAATATATATTTTATGTTTTAAAACTTTGCAATCTTTTTCTTTAAACCAAATCCCCTTTTTTTTTTAAATATTCATTTTTGTATCTTTAAACAAAAAGACAAAAAGGCAAAAAATCTAAACATTTTCTTTAAAATTTTTTATTTTTCTTTAAATTGAGAAATAATGATTTTTTAATTCCATATAATTTGTTTCTGTTTTTTTCTTTTGAGCGATCTTTACAATTTTTCTTATTTTGAAATATTCATCCTCGTTATTTTCCCCCATAAGTTCAAATTTTGTTCTTTTTAAAAATAAGTAAAGGCTATTATAATTGTTTGCACATCTTTGCCATCTTTGGACCTGTCTAACATGTTTTTTTTTCTTTCTGTCTTCAAACTCTCAAATAGAAAATCTATCAATGAAAGACAAATATCAAAAATATTTTAATATTTCCTTCAATTTCATATATTCAAACCTTTTTTAATTTCCATTCTTCAAATTCCCGCATTTAATGTTATTCAAAAAAAATTGCATTTTATATTGAATTCTGTCATTCTTCTTTTTCTTGTTCGCTGAAATTTGAACATTTTTTTAATTCATTCTTGAGCATAAATCTTCTTTTTCTTTAAAATTCATATATGAATTTTTGATTCTACATATCTTAAAATATATCTATATATTTAGGCATCATTTTTTCAAATTTTTTTTGCCCCTCTTCCCTTTTTTTTGTCCATTTAATCTATCATAAAGTTTTTTCTACTTTATTAATATTTTCATCATTTCTTTTTTTATTTTCAATTTTCAACATCCTTTGTCTTACCTAAGAGAAAAAAAATGAGAATTTTTAGTTTCTTTTTCATTTCTATGTCATTCTAAATTTCCCCAAATTTAATAAACGAAACGTTCTTGGTAAATAACACGAATTATCTTTCAATTTTTTTTTGAAATTTTTTTTTAAAATTTAAAAATAAATCTTTTTTCTTTTCTTTCTTTTTTCCTTTATTTTTTTAACTTTCGCGCGGTCCTTTTCTTTATTCTTTTTCTTTTTTTCTTTCAATTAAACTTTCCTTTTGTTTTTTTTAAATTTCTTTTTTCTTTTTTATTTTCTTTCTTTCATACTTTTTTTTTTTTTCTTTCTTTTTTTTTTTTTTCTTTTCTTTTCTTTTTCTTTCCAATTTTTTTTTTCTTCTTCTTTTTTTTCTTTCTTTTTTCTTTCCAAATCATTTAAATTTCTTTCTTTCAAAGTTTCTTTTTTTTTCTTTTCTTTATTTTAATCTTTTTCATTTTTTTGACTTTATTTCTTTCTTTTCTTTCTTTTTTTGTTTTTTTTTTTTTTTTTTTTTCTTTTTTTTTCCATTTTTTTTTCTTCATTCATTTTTCATTTTTTTATTTTCCTTCCTTTTTATTTTTTTTCACAGTTTTTTCTTTTTTTTCTTCTTCTTTTTTTTCTTTTTCATTTTTTTCTTTCTTCTTTCCTCAATTTTATGTTTTTTTTTCTTTTTTCTTTTTTTTTTTTTAAGTCTTTTGTTTCTTTTTCTTTGATTCTGTTTTCCAACTTAATTCATTTTTTTCAAATCAGCTTTTCTATTTTTCTTTCTTTCTTTGTTTTCCAAGATTTAAATATTTTTTTCAAATCTAAATTTTTTTTTTCTTTCATTTTATTTTTAATTTTTCTTTTTTTTTTCCAAATTTTTTTTTTTCTTCTATTTAAATTTTTTCATTATTTTTCAATTTTTATTTTCCTTTTATTTTTTCAAGCTTTCTTTTAATTTTTTCATTCTTTTTCTTTTTTTTTCTTTTTTTGTTTTTTTTTCACAAAATTTTTTTCTTTCTTTCTTAAATCTTTTTTTTTAATTTTTTTCTTTTTTTCTTTTTTTCCTTTTTCAAATTTTTTTTTCTTTCTTTTTCTTTTCTTTTTTTCTTTCTTTTCTTTCTTTCATTTTTTTCATTTTTTTTTTTTCTTTTTTTTTTTTTTTTTCTTATTTTCTTTCCTTCCTTTTTTTACATTCCATTTTGAATTTTTTTTTCTTTCTTTCTTTTCTTTCTTTATTTTTTCTTTTCCATTTCACAAACCAAATTCTTTCTTTTTCATTTCAATTATTTATTCTTTTTTCAATTTTTATTTTTTTTTTTCACATTTTTTATTTTTCTTTCTTTTTGTTTTTTTTACTGTTGTCCTTTCTTCTTCTTCGGTTATGATATTCTTTCTATTTTCATTTTATTTTATTCTTTTCTTGAGATATTCCTTTCTTCCTTTTCTTAATCTATCGTAAATTCATTTCAATTAATTTTTTTTTTAAAGTTTTTCCAATCACTTAATTTTTTCTTTTCTTTTCTTTCTTTATTTTTTTTTTTCAAATCCTCGTTTATTTATTTCTTTCTTCTTGACTTTTATTTTTTTCTTTTCTTTTTCAATAAATATTTCAGTTTTTTTAAAATTTTTTTTTTTTCTTTTAATTTTCAATCTTTTTTTTATCTTTCCGCTTTTTATAATTCAATTTTTCTTTGCTTTAAATCCACGTTTTTACATCTTTCTTTTTTCGGCTTTCATTTTTCTTTTCATTTTGAAAAAATTTTCATTTTTTAAATTAATATTTCAAAATTCAATCTATCAACCTTTTTTCTTTTCTCTTTTAACAGTCTTTCCATTTTTTTTAAAGAGCTTTTTTTTCTTTTCTTTTTTTTTTTAATCAGTTTTTCTTCCTATTTCAGCCAATCAACATTTCTTTTTCAGATGCAGATTTAGGCATCCGGAAAGGAACCATTTCTTTATCCCAATATCCGCCTTTTTTTTTTCGAAGTGGATAATTTTTAATAATTCTTTATGACTGATAAGTTTTTCCTCTGTAAACCTTTTATTATGATGGCCATCCTTCCTCAATTTAGTTCCTATCTTTTTTAAATTCATCAAGATAATAAAGACGTGGCCCAATTCCATTTTTTTTTTCATTAAAATTCCCTAAAAGAATGAATGAAAAATAAATTAAGCATTTGAACGGTTTCATAATTATTCCAATATTATTTTTTCAAGGTGGAGAATTAATTCCAAAAGCTTCCATGCTTCTTCCTACTTCAATAACAACAGCAGCAGAAGCAGCAGCGACAAAAGTAAGTATCGTCTGCTTGTTTGAATCTATCCACATGTGTTCTCCGCTTTTTTTTCGGGGTATAAAAGACCCGCTCCTATTGCATTTTTCCCTTCCATTCTTTTCCTTTTTTTTTTTTTTTGTTTTTTGCTGGTGGTAGCCAACATGTAAATATGAACATATTTGTTTCTAGTCTCCCAATAGGGATGTGGCACATGTCCGGCACGCCACAAGAGACGGAATGAAAACAAGACCTCAGCGGTCGGATCACGCATACAAGACGATAACAGACATTCTGGCCGAATTGGTTGTTTACCAGGGTTACACATTCAGTGACTATCTTCGCGGAATACATTTTTTATTTAAATTATAAACAAGTGCATTTCATTATATTTCCCTACCAACCCTCAATTTTTTTGTTGATAGCAAAAAGGAAAATTGTTTTCTTAATTACATTTTGATTCTATTATCAGTTGTAGTCATCAAGGTTATTCAATGACCACCGGGCGCCATCTTGTTTTGCTATTATTGTTTCCTTGCCTTCATTCTCTCAAATATTTTCTTTCTCTTTCAATTAGTTTTATATTCTTTTTCTTTTCAACCGTTCTTTCATTTTTAATCAGTCTTTCTTTCTCTTTCTTTCTTTTTTTCTTTCTTTCTTTCTTTCTTTCTTTAATCACTTGTTTTCAATAACCCTTTCTTCTTTTTTTAATCAAACTTTCATTCATTTTGTTTGATTATTTTCTTTCTTTTTCAATCAATCTTTCTTTTCTTTCTTTTTCAAAGAAAGAAAAAACAATTTGAATATTTTACTTATTAAAAAAGATTTAACTGAAAAGACGGAAAGAAAAAGACGAAACATTTTCTATATAGAAAGGTTTCTTGAAAAATTGATTAAAAAGAATACAAGAAATTTTTAAGGAAAGAATGAAAATTAATTTTTTCAAACATTCTTTTTTTTTTTCTTTTTTTCTTTCTTTTTTTTCAGAAACCTTTTTTTTTTTTGTCAATCTTTTCTTTTTTTTTTCCATCTTTTTCAATTTTTCTTTCAAGAAGTCTTTCTCAAAAAACCATCCTTCCTTTCTTTTCCTTTTTTTTTAAATTTTTGTTTCTTTTTTTTTTTTTCCTTTATTTTTCAGATTTCTGTTTGGGTTTTCGGAATCCATTTTTTTTCTTTTTTTCATTTCTTTTCTTTTTTCAACCAATCTTTCTTTTCTTTCCGTCTTTTTCAATCCATCTGTCTTTCTTTTTTTGGTTGTTTTTTCTTTACATTATTTCTTTCTCTTTCTGTTTTTCTTTCAGTCACTTAATTTTAGACTTTTATTAATCAAATTTTTTTAAGTCGATTCTTTTTTCTTGTTCATTTAGCTTTCTTTCTTTTTTTTTCTTTTTTTTCCAAATTTCTTTATTTTTCTGTTTCAATCAATCAATCTTTCATTTTTATTTATTCTTCTTTCAATAGGTATTTCATTTTGAAAACTTTCTTACGTTCTTTTTCAAATAATATTTTCTTTTCTTTTTTTTTCAGTATTTCTTTCTTTCTTTTTTCAAACAATCAATCCTTTTTTTTGAGTCTTTATTTTCATTTTTTTTGAAAGACCTTTTAATCGGCGAATTTTCTTTTTTTCTTTCTTTCTTTTAAAAAAATCAATTAAGCCATTTTTTTCTTTTCTTTTATTTTCTAAAATCTTTCGCCTTCTTTTCTTTTTTCTTATTTCTTTTTTTTAAAGGGATTTTTTTCTTTTTTTTTTTCGAATGATGAAAATAAAATTCTTTTCTTTCTTGTTTTGTCTTTTGGTTTTTTTTTTTTTTTTCCTTTCTTTCTTTCTTTCTTTCTTTCATGTTTCTTGATTTTAATTCTTTCTGTTTTTTTTTTTTTGTTTTTTTTTCCGGAAAATCTTCTTTTTTTTCTTTCTAATATTTTCAATTTTTCAATCAATCAATTTTTTTAATTCTTTTTCAGTTAGTACATTTTCCTTTATTCTTTTTGTTTTTTCTTTATTTTTTTTTTTCTTTTTCTTCTTTTCAAATAAAATTTAAATATTTTGAATTTTCTTTTTTTTATATTCTTTTTTTTTTAGGTTTTTTTCATTCTTTATTTTTTCCTTCTTTGTTTTTCTTTCTTTTTTTTTTCTTTCTTTTCTTTCTTTTATTTTAATAAATGAAACCTTTTTTTCAAAATTGTAAAAATTTCATTTTTCTTTCAGGCTTTCTGGAAAAAAATTCTTTTTTAAATTTTAAGTTTTCAATAATTTTCTTTTTTTAATAAATTTTTAAGTTTTTTTAACTTTCTTTTTTTTTCTCATCTAAAAACTTTTTTTAGTTTCTTTTTGTTTGTTCTTTTTTTCAGTTTTTCTTCTTTTCTTTTTTTCAACTACCAATTTTTTTTAATTTCAATGTTTCCTTTTTTTCTTTCATTCTTTCTTTTTAAATTCAACTTTTCTTTTTTCTTTTTTTTTTCTTTTTAAAAAATTCAATTATTTTTCTTTTTTCAGTTCTTTAATAACAATTTTTTACTCTTTCTTTCCTTCTTTTTTTTCCTTCCTTCTTCTTTTCTTTCTTTTCTTCTTTTCTTTTTTTGTTTTATTTTGTAAATACAGTTTTTCTTTTTTGTTGCTTTTTTTTTTCTCCTAAAATTTTTTTCTTTCAATTCAACCAGTCTTTCTTTTTTTCTTTCTTTCTTCTTTTTTTCTTTCTTTCAATATTCTTTTCTTTTTTTCTTTCTTTCTTTCTTTGTTTTCTTTTTCTTTCTTTCTTTTTAAAATTTCAATTTTCTTTCTTTTTTTTTCTTTCTTTTTTTCTTTCCTTTTCTTTCTTTCTTATAGGAAGAGTCTTTCTTTTTTTCTTTTCTTTCTTTTTTTTCCATATCTTTCCCATTTCTTATTTGGTAAAAAAACCGATTTTTAAAAGGGTTTAATTTAGGTATTTTCTTATTTTCAATATCTCTTTATTTTCGTTTCCAAATTTTTTAAACTTCAAAAATTTCTTCCTTTCATTTTTTAACAAATTTATATTTAGAATATTCTTTATTTCTTTTATATTATATTTTATATTAAAATTTCTACAAATTCGAAATCTCTTTAAATTTATATTATCTTTTCTTTTGTTTCTTTCTAATTTTTTTTTTTTTCATTCTTATTTCTTTAAAAATATAAATTTCTCTTTATTAGATCTTTCTTGAATTAATTTACTCTTTATTTAGATATTCTTCAAAATATGGTTGATTCTTTTTTTATATTTCTTTATTTTTATATATAAAAGCAAAGAGTTCTTCTTTCTTTTCATTGTCTTTCATTTTTTTACATTTGGCTTTTTCATCTTTATTTGAACAAAAATGTTTCTATTTTTTTTCTTTTTTTTCTTGATTTATTTCTTTTCATTAACATATTTCTATTTTTTCATTCTCTTTTTATTTCTTTCTCCATTTTCTTTCTTTCTTTGAAAAAATTCTTTCCAGATATTTATATATATCTAATCTATATCTTTCTTTCTTTTTGTTATTTTTTTTATTCTTTCTTTCTTTTGTTATTTAAATTTCTTATCTTTCATTTCTTTTCTAAAATATAAAGATTTTTTCTTTCTTTTTTCAGATCTTTTTAATTTTTTCAAAATTAAAAAATTTTTTTTCTGATTTCTTTTATCTTTTTATTTATTTCTTTTTATTTTCCTTTTTCTTCTTCATAATTATTTTCTTAACAGTAAAATATCTTAAGCGATCATCAAACCTGAAAATTTCTTTACTTATAACAACATCAAATTTTTTGATGAATTTTCAATAAATTTTTTTTTTTGAAAAGTGGGCATCTCTTTTTCTTCTCTCTCTCTCCCCCCAAGCACCCCAACACATTAAAGTTTGAAATATATTTTATATATATATATATTATATTATTAAAAATTATAAAATAATAATATATATAACTATATATTTGTCAATAATAAATTTCACGATTTAAATTTAAATATTTATGAATAAAATGACAATAATAAATATAAACAATCATATGAAAAATTTCTACCAAATCATTAAATTTCTAGTCATTTTACATTTATTTGGGTATTGTTGATTATAAATTTATTAAAAATGTTTGTTGATCATTTTAAATTCCAAAATTTATATTGTTCTTTTTAATAAACGATGTATTTGAATATTTTTACTATTAAAAATTGTATTGTTGATCATTTTACTATAAAAATGTATTGTTGGTCATTTTACTATAAAAATGTATTGTTGGTCATTTTATTATAACAATGTATTGGTGGTCATTTTACTATAAAAATTGTATTGTTGATCATTTTACTATAAAAATGTATTGTTGGTCATTTTACTATAAAAATGTATTGTTGGTCATTTTATTATAACAATGTATTGGTGGTCATTTTACTATAAAAATTGTATTGTTGGTCATTTTACTTTCCCAATTTTATTGTTGGTCATTTTACTTAAAAAATGTATTGTTGGTCATTTTATTATAACAAAAGTATTGGTGGTCAAACAAACCTATAAAATTGTATTGTTGGTCATTTTTTGTTTGATAAAGTCCATTTCACGAAACGCGTCATGAATTACCAAATTATTCCTATTGTCATTTTTATTCATAAATATATATATATATGATATGTCCCGGAAAGGGATATATTTGAACGAAGTAGCTAAGTGGTTTTGGCTACCATAAACAAGTAGAATAGGGTAGCAGTAATCGATTGGTACGCGTCATAGTCGCAGGTAAGAAGTGTAGATCAATGGCGTAGTCCAATGGGCGTCGTTATAGACTTAGCTCTCAGACTAAGGCTCTTTTGACTCTCTTCCACGTCCGTCGGTATTTATGACGGACACCAGCCATATTCCAGTGAGGGGGAACTCAGGTGTATGCATATTTCATTATATCAATATATACAATATATTATTATAAAATTATATATTTCTGTATACACACACACACACACACACACACACACACACACACACACACATATATATATATATATATATATATATATATATAATACATTCTTATAAAATTATATATTTCTTTTTATACATATATATATAAAAAACATTCTTATAAAATATATTTATTTATATATATATATATATATATATATGTGTGTGTGTGTGTGTGTAAAATATTGAAAAAACAGGAAAGAAAAGCTAATAAAGAAATATTCCAATGACATACAGCAATTTTTATGACATTATCTAAAAAATAGCGGATACAAAAACGCTAACATCAATTATAGAAAAAATAGTACTAACCAGAAGAAAAACAGGAAAGAAATTATCATTTTAAAATATTGCCGTTCAACAAATGAAACTCAGTATTAACTTAGCTAGGACATAAATTCCTAGCTTTTAATTGAAAAACACTTTCCGCAGCAGACTTAGCAAGATCTTTAATGAAAACACCTTAAATATAAGTTATAGTTGCACTGAAAATCTACAAAGAATCATAAAAAAACATAATAATAAAATCCTGGAAAAAAACGCACGCTAAAATATTATTAATAAAAGCTCTAAACTAAAATTAGACAAAAACAATGAAAAATTATGTGATTGTAGAAACTCTGAAAACTGCCCGTTGGAAAATAAATGCCGCATAAAATCTGTTGTATACCAATGCACTATCTCATCCATTGCGAGTCCTAACACTGAAATGATATTTATATATATATATATATATATATATATATATATTTATAATTCTATTTATATAGTAAGGTTGTGAAAAAATGTTTTTTTTTAACAAACTTAAAAAAACGACATTTTTTTTTAACCAACTTTAATATATATATATATATATATATATATATATAGATATATATATATATATATATATATATATATATATATAGGTTCCACGAAAAATGAATTTAAAATTAAATGGAGAGAACACAAAAGCTACTATTTGAAATAGAAATCAAACATCTCTATCCAAATAATTTTAGCATTTAAAAGTAATGAGTAAAACACCAAAAGTAAAATAGAAAATAATAAATAGAACAAGAACTTGTAAAACCTGGGATAACCCATGCCCTTTATGCCTACATGAAAAACTACACATAATTAAGTCTCTAAATAATGAAAATTTATTGAGTTAACTGTTTTTTGCCGGCATCAACAAATTTTCCCATTAAATAATTAGCATAATTTTTTTTATTTTCATAGTCTAATAAAAGATTTAAAAGCTTAACCTAATCATAAGATAAAAAATAAAACCCCTTATGAAGTCGTCAAAAAAACAAATTGTTGTTCAATACGACGCATTTATATACAAACAACCCTTTTAGAAAAGAAAATCTTTAGACCCTTAACAATGTAGCAATAACGCATAACGCCGGTAACTCTTTGTCGCTGAAACAGACTGGACGATATGTGTATAAAGAATGTCATCATTCGCTTTAATTTAGACCCCCCAATCCTACCTTGACTTGACTTCTTTCCGAAACTAACTGATATGTTGATACAAATTGTTCACCTTTACGCCTCTTATTAAAATTATTGCTTCCATAGTAATTAATTTTACAAATGAATCTGCTTATAAAGATGCGTAAATTTCAAGATTAGTTATTCCAAAAGTTCGCTTGAAGATGAAACAGAGCTTGATACTTTAATTCAATTTAATTTTTATAATTATATTGAAGTTTTTGGCTCCTGTCTTTGAAACATGAGAACTCTTATGTAGCGAAGGAATCATATTTTTGAAAAATAATTCTAGATACATAGAAATATATATACAATACATTATTATAAAATTATATATTTCTGTATATATATGTGTGTGTATATATATATATATATATATATATAATGGTAAAATTATATATCTCTGTTCCATCTTCAAGCGAAATCTTTTAGAGCTTAGTACTTTAATTCAATTTAATTCAAATAATTATATTGAAGTTTTCAACTCTTGTTTTGAAACATGAGAACTCTTATGTAGCGTTTGGAATCATATTTTTTTAATAAATAATTATATTTATGCTCTACTTTTGTATCGAGCACTATTTATATATATATATATATGTATGTATTGTTTTATTTGCTCTATATTTGGTATAATAAATTCCTTGCCACAAGATCAAACTGCCACACAATTTGACAACACACACACAGATGATATCCTATATATATATCGTCGCAATAGAGAGGAAATGAGATTTATTTATAATTTTTATACCTGTATATTTTTTTGTCTAAAAAAAAAAAAAAAAACAAACAAATAGATAATGCAATTTTTAGATATTATACAATATATATTTTGAAAAATAATAAAAGGAAAAGACTGAAACATCCGTACATGCTTGAAAATTTTTAATCATTTTACTGTTTAAATTTTTAGACAAAACAAAAAACGCTAACATCGAAATAAATTTGAATTGTAAAAATCATGCTTAATACACAGGACTATTTAGCAAAATTTCCTTTAAAAGAGCCAGAACCTATCTACCTAGGTTTTAATGCTTAAATCATCAGGATAATTTCTGACTTTAGGTAGATTTGTTCTTTCTTGTTGCATATATATATATATATATATATATATATATATATATATAAATATTATTTATATATTAAACACATACAACATATATATATTGAAAAAGACAAAGGAGAAAACTTAAAAAGAAAACGCGTTTCAAATTTTGATAGAATTATCAAAGCAAGTATAAGGATTTTATTTTGGCAACTAGTAAAAATAAAAGATAGTAAAAAATATTGTTAATTTTTTTGTATATATATATACAAAATTTTGTATATATTTTTTTTGTAATATTTAAATGAATTAAATTCAAATTATTAAAATTGTAAAATTTTTTCCCTTATCCAATGTAACCCATTTTTTTAAATTTTTAAAAGTTTTTATAATCATGTATTCTTGGAAATTACTAATTCTTCTAGGAACGGAAATATTTGAAAAAAACAAAAAACTTTGCCCAGATTAATATTTTGTTATTTTCAATAGGGCATTCTCGAGAATTCCATTTTGCATTACCTTTACTTTAATTTATGTTTCAAAAAATTTTAGATCAAAGTTGTTTTTGAAATTATTTCTATACCCTGTTATGCATTTGGCAAATTGTTTTGTATAAGATTCGTTTTGTGTACGTAGACACGTTTTTAAAAGTTTCACTAATGCAATGTGAAAAGCACTTGTGACAGTTATATATTGGGATTAAAAAAGGTAGATATAGGTCTGGTTTATATTAGATTCATTGGTCAGAGATACACTAGATTAAAAAAGATAGACACTGGTCCAGTTTACACTTGTTTCGTAAAAGATAGACATTGACAAAAAAGTTTGTTTTTTCTATTCAAAATGGTTTTAATTTGGCATACCTGGCTACACTTAGTTTCAAAAGGTAAACATTTTCCGTTTTACAATAGATTTGAAAAGGTAAGACATTATGCCAGTTTAACTGTGATTCAAAAAGGTCAGACATTGGTACAGTTAGGAATAGATTCAAAATATAATATAAACATTGGCCCGGCTATTAAAAGTTTCGATAAAGGTAGACCTTGTTCCGGTTTACACTAGATTCGTAAAGGTAGACATTAATCCGGTTTACACTAG